GATTTGTAAAAAAGTGGTTTGGGAGTTGTAATCATAAAATTAATGATAGAATCTTTACGAATATTTGACCAACCATCTGTTACAAGACACAAAAATTGTGTTTCATTAAGTAAGTAATTAATAACAGTGTTTAAACCAGAATACTCTTTAGTAAAAAGAGAGTTTGAAAGAGAATAACGTGTAGACAATTTAAAGTATGGTAATGCTCTTGAAAAAAAAGCTTTTATATCATCATTTTCTAAAATATTAAATGAAATACCAGCAGAATAAAACCCACGTGCTAACAAACTTTCTAGTTCTTTTTGATCCGTATTCGTAAACTTGTATAAAAAATTTTCCATTTTTGTTTGTTGTTTATGATTAATAGTTCTTGTATTATTGTCGTCGTTATGTACAAAACTTGATGTAAAACTTGATGTATTACTATTGCCAGAATTTTTTAACTTGCAATAGTTGTAATGTTCTTGCATTCGTGTTTCATTTTTGATCTATGATTTATTACAAGTTTTACATTTCATCCATTCTTGTCCTTTTTTATTTATTATTTTTTCAAATTTGTTCCAAAAAGTTCCTTTATTACAAGGCATATTAAATTGATAAATGATACAATTTTTTTGTGATTTTTTTTTTTTATCTTACATTATATAACTTACCTTATATAGTAACTTACACAACATAAAATGTAACTTACATTTTAAAAATAACTTATGGTAAGTTATACAACTCTAGGTTAGGGTTAGTTTAGGAGTATAGTTTAGGCCAGTTTATTTAATTCTAGTAAACAAATGACATCATGATATGTTTAGTATATATACCGTCCCGACTACTTAGTATTAGTTGAACAAATTTAATACAATAACAATAATGATTTATATAATAAAGTCAATTTTTCTTCTGCGTTGCACTTTAATTACTTGTAACAAAACAAAAATAAGTTTACTACAACTTTAATATTATATTATTCGTTTAAAGCTCTTTTTTTTATAAGGCAAAATTTTCTTAATTCTTTATATAATGTTATTTTTTATTACAATCAATCTTTTTATACCGAATTGAAAGTTCATTAAAGCCCATAGCATTTTTATAACGAGCTATTTATTATATAATTTAAAATTTAAGTTATTATAGAGAGGTTCATTGTATAGGATCAACTATATACAAAAAAAATTTATCAAATAAAAATAAATTGGTTTCATTAAATAAAATATATAAACCAATGTTAATTAATTTTTTTTTGGTATATTTGTTAAATTTATTAAGTAATTGAAATATACTACCGCTACAAATCTGTTAAAAATTTGAATTCCGGAGTAGTTGTCCGACCCATCCTGTGTTCATCCGAAGCGCAACCTTGTATGTCGATTACTGGGTTAACTGTTCTTCGACTATATCTAATTAAAAGACATGTATTTCTTCAGGATAGTTCAAGAAAAATGGGTCAGGTGGGTCAAGATAAATGTTTTTGTGCGCAAAAACATTAATCTTGACCCACCTGATTCATCTTTTTTGACCTACACTAAATAGAAAAAAGAATACATATAGTTTTGACTTATGTAATCAATAATGTATTAAATGATCATTAATTAATTAAAGAACTACACAACATAAAACATTATTAAATATACATTTTTGCTTTTTGCACAATTGGAACTTAAAAAAAAAAAAAAAAAAAAAAGCAACCCGAAAAATTAACTTTGCGTGGTCTAACTATTTCTCATATAAAATCAATAGTAGACCCTTACAAAAATCTCTACTTGCCTTGAAAAACGAAATCATAAGAAAATTCTTGTTGATTTTCAAACTCTGCGCGAGAACTAAACAAAAAAGCTTAATAAATTTTTGAAACTGAACTTCTGAAAAATTTTTACATACAGTAGGTCCAGGGAGGACAAGCGATAGTTTCATGAATATAAAATTTCTTAAAGAACATATTTAACAGAACAGGGAGAAATAGGGAGGAGAGTTGGCTATAATAGTTTGAATTTTTTATAAGCTCATATTTTATTGAGTGTGTGAGAATGAAAACCAGGAAAATGAACATGTGTTTCTATTTAAAATAAGCAACTATAAAAAAGTAAAATAAGCAACCCTATAAGCAAGAGTAATTTTTATTAATATTGGCTAATATTTCAAAAGTTACTGAAATTAAGCAATGGGGCTTTACGATACTCTGCACGGGGATCGATATTACATGTAAGTTCTTATTATTAGTATGTGACTCGTCGCTGACAGTTTAAAACTAACTATAATTAAATCTTAAACAATAATATGAAAACAATCTGCCTAACAGCCCAAAGCGCAGCAAGGACTCAATTCCAAGTAAACTGAAACATCTATATAATGTCTGTTCGATAGCACACAAATTTTAAGTTAGTTATATACATGTGGCCAAAATATTTCGACCATTTCGGCCACATGTATAGTCAGTTAATAGTCTGCAGTCAATATAATAATTATAGAGGTTTTTTTTTTTTATATACTTTATTCGCTCCAGACCTCTAATGGATTTTAATTTCAATTCAATGTTTGCTGTTGCTTGATTACACTAAAACGTGGTACGCTATTGGCATTGATCTAAAGCATTAGTATTACATGAATATGCAAGGGTTGTCCAATATATCTTTTTTAATATATAGGTCTTTGCCTTGAAAATCGAGTTACAGAATATAGTAAATTATTTGACCCGTACTTGATTTTCAAGGCAAAGACCCCATATAAGCTCTTTAACCCTCATAATACTTTAGGAAAAAATAAATTTAAAATTTTTATATTAAATTTTATAAAAATTAAAGTATCATATACTTCGCTATAGTAAAAGCTCTTTTTTAGAGCTCTATTAGGATAAATATTATATGTTCTGTGAGTTTTCTTGATCTGAAAAAAAAGCAACTGTTATACACGTTTGTAAATATATACACAATATATAGAAGTTATTTAATATACTAGCTCTTTAACCCTCGTGATACTTCAGGAGATAGGGATGTTAAATTGCGAATCCATTCCGGTCCGATCCTAGGATCCAAAAGGACGGTCTTGGACTTGATCCTTAAATCACATAATAATACAATACATTTTATAGAACTTAGATCCTGTATCAGATCCTGAACTGTATCTATAGAATAAGTTTATCCAATCAAATTAATTTTGTATTGTTATAATAATTCAATTCAGGATCCAAGTCCTATAAAATGTAATGTATTTTCATGTAATTTAAGGACCGAGTCCTTACCGATCCTGCAGGTCCTTGTAAGGACTGGTTAGGATTCGGTCCCAAAAGACCGATTAACATCTCTAAACATTTAAAATTTAAGCGGCACCAGGAAATCCCAGAAATGTAGACAATAAATCAACGTGATTTCAGTCGGGGAGTTGCAGAATTATATGGAAATTACTAAGAGATATCACAGAATTTCACAGATTGTAAGTATTAAGTCGCAGAAATCACAGAATATGGCAAAAACACATCACATCACAGAAATTTAATTAATCACACGCAGAATTTGGTTTTATTCACCACAGAAAATCATCGTCCCTGAATTGCATCATGCGCGTTTGCAGATCAATTTGGATAAAAATTGCGTAATATTGGCCACTTTTTTTTACAAATAACTAATTAAAAATGTTCCTCGTGAAATTTTACTAATAGCTTCAACCTTAACCTTATGTTGTTCTAACCCTAACCCTAACTATAACGCAGTTTAGTTTACATGCAACTTTTACTTAGAAAACGAACACGTTTGTTTTGACTACCACATTTCACCTAATCTTAAAATTTGATTGGATTGACTCATAATATACATGCTAATTAGGAAATTAATGTTGACAAGTATATAATTTCATTAATTTCATTTCAGATTTTTTACAAACGATTTCTATTTTCTATCAAAAATATTGTTCAAAAAACACCTAAAGAGGACATATCCAATGTGAATTATTCTAAAGATCCAATGAAGGAGAGCTTATGTTTCACTTCGTTGCCCTGCTTTTAAAATGAGTATTGATCAAAATCAACAACGTGAATTATCCAACATAAATTACCCCAACGTCAACGTGAATTATTTTGACACATCCAACACAAACTATAAGGTGAGTATTTGTCACTGAGTTCGTTTATTAAGTGATAACGATAGTTTAGCATAGTAGGAATGCGAGACATGCTGCGGTTGAGTGAGTCCTGCATGCACATTCTTATAGGAAGTCGCCCATGAAGGTTCCTATCTTTTGGATTCCACATCCAGGAAGGTGTGATAGCTTTCGTCACTCACTTTGTTTAGCATGATAGAAATGCAAGACACGCTGTGGTTGAGTGAGTTCTGCATGCACATTCTTACAGGAAGTTGCCCGTGAAGGTTTCTATCTTTTGGATTCCACATTCAAGAAGGTGCAGTGATAACATTGTTACTTATTTCTTTTTTTTTTTTCTTTACAGAATAGTACCTCTATAATGGACGTATTAAATAAAAGTAGAATAAAGTGTCGAGAATACTATAATGACAATTGTATTGAGCTGGTTGGGATTTATGAAGAAATAAACTTTATCAATACATTATGTAAAAAGAGACCACAACAAAATCGGTAAGAATGAAATGATCCATTTAATTAATGATTTTGAAAGTTAACAGTTTGAATTTATTGGTTTTTTGTAGCAAAATTATAACTACCATCTCTTAGCCATCAATCAAGCAGCAATAAGTTCAACCGTATTTCTATGCTACGAAACAACCATCATTGACAGGATCAAGGACGTAGCTCGCATATAGTTGTTAGACGAAACCTTGAGGTTTTGCGCTGACAAAATGCGAAACCTAGTTTCATCTTTCGTCAACTAAAATCTCAAATGACAAAAGGTGACGAAACTGGCGAAAGGTGACGAAACTGACGAAAGGTGACGAAACTGATAAATCTGCAAATGGTACAAAACTAATAAAAAATGAGAAACAGAAGCAAGTGTAAGTAAGGGCTCCTACATTTATGTTTATGTTTATATAAGACTAAAATTTAAAACATACAATTATATCAATTTTAATAAGTAATTTAAGAAGTAATTTATCAATTAAGTAAATTAGCACAATTAAGATTATTCTACATATTTCTGTATATCGATATTCTATTGGCTAAATCAATAAAAAACTTTTATTAATAAATTAGTACAGATAATTAAAATTAATAAGAGGTGTGTACATACATTGTTTTCAGATCTTCAATTATAAAATTTCTGTCAGAACCTAAATACAAGCTGGGTCAAGCCAACAAACATCTTCAGCATTAAACATAGATGCTAATGGCTTATTTGCTATTTATAATTTGTGTAATTGGCCTAAATATACATACAAGTCTTCAGTATTAACATCGTTAAATATAAATAAAAGCCTCATTAATGAGATAATTTTATTATTTTTATTGATAGCTCAAAATTTCAGTAGTAATTTTTTTAACGAGAGATGTATGGATTCACTATTATCATAAAATTTCTTCAGACCAGTTTTTTTTTTTTTTAATGGGAGCCCAAGAGGGTTTTTTTAGCGGGAGCACTAGGGTTTCGTCATTTTGAATTTGGGTTTCGCCTTTCGTCAGGGGTTTCATCATTTTGGAGCTTAGGTTTCGTCTAACAACTATAAGCTCGCACTAAAAAAATAAAAATTTCTAACCGGAGAGATGTCATAATTAGAGATATCAAGATTAATAAAGAAAAAAATGTTCAATTGATGAAATCTTGATGAAAAACAGTAACTTTAAACCGTTTTAAGGTTAAAATCAGAACTTTAGAAATAGATTGAAGCACCGCCTATAGTACAGTATAATTTTTAAAAAAGTCTGGCTCATTATTACAATGATTAGCACTTGTATCAACGGATCAGAAAATTTAGAAATAGAATTTGATGCGCAGCAACTATTAACAAAAATCTATTCTAAAATCTTTATAAGTTGAATAAATTAGTCACCAGCAAATAAAATTCTAGTGAAATAGTGAGTGCCTGATTTTAAGTCATATACATATACCTCAAACAGGGTTGTGAATAGACAATAAACAAGCCAATAGACTCAATAGACAGTCTAATGGTCTAATGATGTCTAATTAAGTCATTAGACAAAAGACAAATTACTATATAATTAAAACAATCTGATTGGTTAATTTTAGATACTAATATATAAAAAAAAATTAGTTTAAGACCAATAGACATTAGACTCATTAGACTAATAGAGTTTCCAATAGACCATTAGACAATTTGACAATAATTTTTTTGATTAGACTATGTCTATTCACATCCCTGCCTCAAGTGCCTGATTTAATCATATACATATACCTCAAGCTTGACAATGTTTCTATTTAAAATTTTAAATAAGCAATACGAAAATAATTATTATAAACTATAATTCAATTCTTAATGTTTAGAAATTATTTAATAACTAGCTATATATATAGTATTTTTTACTGGTAATGAATAGAAAATTGACTAGTAGCAGTAATATGTAGCGGATTTATATATACTGTATGTAGTATGTAACTTATATGTTGAAATCTTTTCTAACAGTCCATGTGAAGTTAAGATTATTTTTATTACGTATTGCTCTTTAAAAAAATACATAACAGTAATAATAATATTATACATATGTACAATAAAGTATTTTCACGAAATAATGTGCAGTAATTTTAAAATTTAGCCCAAATTAAGCTTAATCCAGGTCATTATTCCAAATAACGCGCCGGGGTGTAATTTCAAGATTTGGCCCAAATTAAGTCTAATTCGGACCATTATTCTAAATAACGCTCATGAGCGTTTCTACGTACGTACTGTATTACGTGAAAATACGTAATTTTGAATTTACATAATGACTTCTGTCATTTTAGCACTTATTGATCTATCAATAAAGGTTAATGATGTCCAAAAATTTTTGCCTTTTGGGCTTCCGGAATTAACTAAATTTGCCCAAAATCACGGAATTTTGCTATCATATAGATGACTAGCATTATTGCCTAGTCCAAAAAGCTCGGGTTACAGATCACTAACTTACTACAATATTAATTACTTATTATTAAAAGGCAAAAAAAACGTGTTTAGAGTTTACTCTTTAAATCGTTAAACATCTTCAGAGTTTTTTAATCTAAATTTTCACTTTAGCTCGTGAATCTCTTGTACAAGTACAAAAACATATATTAGTCAGAAAAATAATATTGTATGAAAAAATTTGGCAAGCCATTATTATAAAGTCAAATTCTGAATTTATCCGAAGAATTATAGGAAAGAATTATAGAAATAAGACAAAATTAAATGAAAATGTACATTCGAACTTTGTGAATTTGTAAAACATCCACATTCTAATGTCAATATGATGAAACGGACCCTGCAAAGGTATTCAATTTCGCCAAGACAAAAAAAGCCATATACGTCCTGTCCAATCTTCAAAGCAAATTTCGAATAACGACTGAATATGACTAGGAAATGCATAATCGATTGACAATTATCAATAAGCTCATGATTGACAACCAATCAGAGATGCGGAAGAGAACAGACAGAAAGCACGTGACAGTTTAGAGTGTCCTCCGGACAATAATAAACGGGTAATAATATATATATGGGCGATGGACTAGGAAAACCCGTCTTCGAAGGGGATTTTCCATTTTGAGAAAATGACGATTATTGTTTGTGTAACCTAAA